CCTAAAGCTTCCAGTTAGAAATAGAATAAAAAACCCACCTTCTTCTATGAGCTTCTGGCGCTCTGAGGGTTCCAGCTTTCCTTTCATCTTGTTAGCAACTACATTTCTCTCAGCTCGTAGCCTTTCCACTTCCTGCTATCTGTGAGTAACAATTAGCTAAAATTGAGAAGAAACCAGCTCCATAGAACTCATCCGAGCATGTGAATGTATTACTTCTATGATTCAATCAAAGCTCTAGCGTCTAAGGATGCAACACAAAGCACTAAAAAACTTTGCAGTAATCAAGACAATGCTAATTTGCAGAAACTCAGCTGCTCTTTTCATGCATCAATTATACTTCACAAATTTGGTACCATTTGCAAAAGAGAGGCCAAGATGACAAAAGGAAGAAATATCTATAGACAGGACCATATCTGAGTACTTTGACCTTTTTTCTTTAAGTGATTTAACTTCTAATCTGCTTTAATTATGGATACTTCCCATAACTTATTTAATTTTCCTCTTTTATCTTCTAAAAATATCCACCTCATACCAGGGCATGCCACTTGGCCAAGCAAGCATTTGATGAAGCTATTGCTGAGCTTGATAGCCATAATGAAAAATCCTACAAGGACAGCACCCTTATCATGCAGCTCCTAAGGGATAATCTCACTTTGTGGACCTCAGACCTAAGAGGGAGGTATTTCTAATAGGATGCTTCAATCTTTTCTAAGTTAATTCCCTTCATTATGGTTCAATGACGATTATGATCTAGATTTAAATGGCTGTTGCATTTGGAAAATAGGGGAGAACCTGTTGCTTTGGCAATTAAAATTAGCATCTCTTATGCTACCTGGATCCATGAATTAATTACTAGAATGCAATATATTGATTCGACTTAAAGGGATATATGATGAGGGAATAAATAAAATGAGTGCTCCTTTTGAATCTTCATCAACAAATAGGATTTATCGGCTCATCCTTTTTCCAGAACAAATTAAACATAAAGATGTAAAAGATTTACCGATTTGGAAAAGATGTTGACTAGCGATAATTTTGACAGGTGAACATTCTAAAGGTGATGAGCATCAAGGGGAGGTATGATTTCTAACAATTCACTTAAATCTCTCTTATATCTGGTTTGTGAAGCTTTTCCATGTGGAGATGTTTACTACTTGTGTACTAACTAATGGGTCATGGGAATAACTCTAAGTAGAATTCTCAGCCAAGTGAGGTTCCGATGTCAAAATGCTGAAGCGTGGCTTCTTAGTTGTGCTGTACAATTGTGTACTTTCTGGCTGTAATTTTGCATAGGCTTTCAGGCATAAAGCATAAGGCAGAACCAATTGACCAATTCATTACTCTGGAAATATGTAGATTCAGAGTGTCTTTAACAATGTAATGTTCATGAAAGTATTTTACCATTTTTTCTCTTCTAAAATACCATTAGTTAGTGTGGAAGCCTGCCATGTCACATTAATACACCATTTTTGCTCTTTTTTGTGTCTTTGCAGAACTAGCTGACGTTTTAAAGGAGAGAAATATTTGTGATGCTGGCTCAGAATAACATTTTCCACTAATTCCATTATAATATGTGTGTGTGTTCCTGTAAATGTTAAGTGCTTGCGAAGATCATACAATGATGCAGTAGCTAATGCTCAGAATTCTTTAGCTAAAAGGTAGACTCTTGTTACATTTCCAAGTTAACTACAGTATTAGCAGTGATAACAGACATGGAAATTGAAAGCTTGAGACTTTATAGCCAAAAGAGTGAAGAAATTGAGATAGAAAATTGACCTTCTGAACATTGAGCAACTTGTCATAGAGCTCAAGCACAAGCTCCAGATTAGCACTGGATTTCCTATTCGCAATATTATCCGCAACTGCCTCCTTATTATCCCTTATCCACTTGAAATCTATTGCCGCTTTCCATTGAGGCTTCACCACTACAATTACCACCACAATATTACTTTTACCATAAATGATAAATAAATAAATAAAGTTTCCGAGCATCACTAAGCTGACCTTTACTATCGTCTGTGGCGGAGGTGGCGGCAGTTTGGACGGCGGAGGCAGAAAGAGGTCTAACGACGAGAGGGAGCAGAGGCCTTGGATAGTAAGGCGTTAGACGAAATGTTAGGGTTTTGGAGAAAGTTTTGAGGGAATAGAAGGAGGTTGCGCTGCGGCAGCAATGGAGTAGTACCATAGCTCTCCACTTTCTGCTTCTTTTCGTCGTATCGTTTTGGTAAGGCGAAGGTGTGACTGGTTTGCTTTCGCTAACTTTATCCCCTTCTTTTAAGAAAATGACAAAAATAATCCTTATGTTTGAGCAGGTATAAGATTGTATCTTAAATATATTTCATATCAACTTTGGTCCTTTAAATTTATCAGCAATGACTACTTTGGATCTCTGTTGAATATCTAACAAACTCGTGCAGTTATATTTAACGAAAACTGTCAAAAAAAGAAGATCTGAAGAAAAGCACTAGGAAAGTCTCGTCAAATCACAAAAATTGCACCATACACCTCGACCGAAATAGCATAAATTTAATCTTAATAAATTATACCAGACATAAGATATAGACTAAAAATAGTAAAAACAGCAAATGCACATCTAAATGTGTATTCCCATTTAAAATATTATTCATAATTCATGTTAAATTTAACGGCCAACATTTGTTAACTATTTGACAAGGACAAAAAATGCATACTTTTGACGCACTTAAATGTCAAATTGATCTAAAATATATTTAATGGACTATTTTAAATCTACTCCTTAACGTGAGAGGCTCTTTTGTTATCTTCTTCCAGTTATTTCTTGGAAAAGAATATTCCATTAATGAAATAGTTTTATAAATAAATATAAAAAAACAACATAAATGTTTGAAAAGTTTTTGGAGAATATTGAGAAAAGATTTTGTGCAAAGAGAAATTTTTACTTGAATACTTTATCTTTTTGAGATTTTGACATTGTTAAATGAGTAAAAAAGCTAAAATTTCAGTGAAAGCCTAATCGTTTTCATTTAAAACTTTTCGCAAAGAAAAAAAGTACAACAAACATGTATTACAAATTTGAATAAAATTTCAAAAATCAGTACTATATGATTGTATCATATTAAGTTGCTTTTATTTGGATTTCACTTATTTTAGCTTGTTTTAGTTGTAGGTATATTTAAATGCGGGAATCGAATAAGTTATGTAGCAAAAAAATGAAAATAGAGCAAGAAACAAAGAAGTTTCAAGATAGCACGAAGTTCCACTTTCACATAGTAAACATTACGGAAGTAGAAAGTAAAGAAGGATTTGATCTACAATATCGAAACGTAAATTTAATTGAAAAACTCGTTGTAATGTCTTCTAGTCTCATTATTATTTTTTGGGTTGTGTTATTATCCTCCACGAAATAGATACATTGTAAAATCATCGCAAATACTCACATATCTTTTCTATTATGCTATCTTAAAATTTTGGGACTTATTCATAATAAGAACTCATGATTTGAAGGTACTATAATCGAATATTGAATTTGGAAAAAAATACTCTAGATTTGAACAAATAACAAGAATTATACTGCATGTTAATTACCCTTAACCATCACCTATGGCCTCACCCAATAACCTTAGGGGTCGTTTGGTTTGAATACCCGGGATAAGTTATGGTGGGATTAGTTATCCTGCTATTATTTTTTATTCACTGCTTAGTATGTTGTATTAAAAATGACATGCATTGCATAATTTCTAAGAAAAAGTTATTTGTTTACAAAAATACCCTCCGTCTTATTTAGCCTCCATCTTCTTGCTCCTTTATCCAATTGACATACGTCAATTTCCAATTTTTACATCAACAAGTATTAAATAATTTTTTGAGGATCTAGTTTTCAATTGTTTAAAATATATCTGATGATTTCTTCTTCTAAATCTTCTTCCTAACCTTAATCCATGTTTCCTTCAGATGTAAGATAGTTAATTACCATGTATAATACTACTGATTTCTTGGTCTTCTCAATTTTCATGGAATGTGTTGTGATTTAAAAAAAAATTCTACATCAGAGGTTCAAACCAAGATCCGCAAGTTGGCCAGAAAGACATAACCAAAACTATAAAATTTAGAGGCATCAAAAACATAGTTAAGCTAAAAAGAGAAATTGAAGAATTGTCATAGTAGTAATATAATTACATATGCACTTACATTTACACTATAGTTAAGCTATTTAATAGACATTAGTTACACAAAAAATATAGCATCCTCGTGCCCACTAGTCATAAACAAAAGAATATGAACATAACCCGAGGTATCAAAAATAGCACTGCAGTTTAACTTTAAAGTTGTTAGTCGAGCAAAAACTATCAAACTAGTGCTACCACATATACACAACTTTACCATACTTCAAAGTTTACCATTGACAACTATGAACATCATTGTTTGGCGTTCAAGTTCACCCATACGTAAAAATAATTTCATCTTTTTGATATCTTCACAGAGAATCATTATAGCTTTGATACGTTCTTGTACAGAGTACAACTCAAATAGAGGAGATTAAAGGATGGAATAAATTTCACCACGAATATCGGATATCGGATCGGTCACGATCCCCAATCTTATCAATCAAGGCACCCATTCTTTTATCTTGACTTTCAATAAAGTTTTTCATAACTTCTGTCATACCCTTAAGAAATGTCTCACTATAATCGTCCACAACCCTTTCTTTTCTTGCTTTTCTCTTTTTCATTGAAATTAGAAGAGGACCTATTAGTATTTCACCTTGTTTATGATTTTGTTGGAATCCTGCATGTTCATTTTCAGATGCTCTAGCATCTTCCTTTTCAGATGCTCCAGTAAAACTAGGTCCAGCATAAGTATTTTCAGTTTCTCCAGTATCACCACAAGAAGCATAAGTATTTCCAATATTACTTAGCATCACAAAAATAAAAATTCATACACTTTACACATAAAAAAGCATATGTATGGAAGTATAAAACTATCAGAAAAGAAACGCTAACTAAACATAAGTAATCTTCACAAAAATCAAAGTAAGTAACTATTTCTTATAATCACAAAAAACTGAAAGTTGATATTCCTTACAATCATACAAAAAACTAAAGAGAAAAATACCCAAACACCACAAAATATAATACAAGCATGGAACGTTTTGAAACGATCAATTGTTTAGACTTGCATTCCACATTGATTGAGCCAACTCACCCCTCCATGTGGTCCACTCCTCATGTGATTCAACAATATTAATGTTGTCATGTTGATACTCCACTTGTTCTTCCATATCAATGTCTAAGGGATCCACTTCCATCTCTCTACGAATAAAGTTGTGCATCAAACAACAAGCACTAATGATCATGTTATGAACCTTAACTGAGTACCACGAATAGCTTATAAGAATTCCCCAACGCCCTTTCAAGAGACCAAATGCTCTTTCTATAACATTACGAGCCCTAGCATGCTTCATATTGAAAAGCACTTCTCGACATCAAGGTGGCGGCTTGTCACCTTGCCAATCCCTTAACCAATATCTATACCCTCTGTAAGGTGAAAGAAAATCGTTTCCATTTGTATATCCTCCATCGCACAAATAATAATTTCCTATAATATAAACATAAAATTTAGTTACTTTTATGTAGCATTCTTTTTGTGATATAACTTGAGTGTATAAGCATATGCATGGCATACCCTCAGGGATTTTCAAACCATTCGTTCGCACTATAGCATCTCGTAATACACAATCATCGGCATTGTGACACTTCGGGCGTTGGATTGGGTTATGTATTGATGCATCATGGTAAGGTTGTCGCTTATTCTTCTAGACAACTAAGAAAGTACGANATTGGAGCTACTGAAAGACTACGATGTTGATATTTTATACCATCCAAGGAAGGCGAATGTAGAAACCAATGCCCCCAGTTGTAGATCTATGGATAGTCTATCATATTTACAACTAGAGAAGAGTGAGATAGCCCATGATATTCATCAGCTAGCTAGTCTTGGGGTTCGATTACTGGATTCAGGTGATACTGGAGTTACTATTCAGGACATGACAACATCCTCTTTAGTAACTGAAGTGAAGGAACGTCAGTATGAGGATCATGTGCTAACTCATTACAGAGATACAACCCCCCAAAAGGAGAAGACATCATTTGAGATTACAGGAGATAGAGTCCTCAAATATCGAGGTCGATTATGTGTTATTAATGTGGCAGGGCTGCGCTAGCAAGTTATGGGGGAAATTCACTATTCTCGTTATTTTGTTCATCCAGGAGCAACGAAGATGTATCATGATATAAGGGAAATATACTGGTGGGGCGAAATGAAGAAGGATATAGCAGAGTTTGTTGCTCAGTGCCCTAATTGTCAGCAAGTTAAGATTGAGCATCATAGATTATCTCAAACTATTAATTTCTTTTCGTATGATTATATTTTTTTAGTTTTACATAAATTAATAGATGCTCAAAAGAAATTTCACATACCTTAAACCGTCTCCATTGATCTTCAATCTCATCTTCAAGCACTTGTTTGGGATTAACAAGCAACAATGGAGCTAGTCTGAGAACTGCTCTCAAGCATTCATTGAAAGCTTGACTTACGCTCCAACCCGAGCTAACATAGTCAACCTTAATTGATCTATTATTCTCATGATGAGCCAAGATATTTAAGAACATTGTTAACTTTTCACTACTTGACATATTTTTACTATTAGTCAAACCTCCAATTTTCTTAGTTAAGAGAACTAAAGTGTGAAAGGAATTTCTATCCATTCTTAACTTATCAATACATGCAATATCACTGTCATGTATGATACAATTCAAATGAGACATAATTTTAGGAATTCGAACACTCATACGATACCTAATCACATGCCTATTTCTATGCTGTCTTATTATAGAATGACCATAAATAGCCATGAAAAGAAATATAAACACAACAAGAAATTGTTGGCACAATATTTCTTTAAGGATAATAACGCATTCAATATCAGACATTAGTTGGTGATCCATAAGAAAACCTAATTTTGCCATTATAAAAATAAAAAAATTAATATACAAAATATTTCAATTAGAAAAAGAAATCTGTGAGCAAAAGTTTATAATTTTCAAGCACATAAAGAGAAACAAATGAACCTAACGAATATCTGGAAAGAGGCTAAACTAAGATTTCATCATCAACATAAAGAGAGAAGGGCTAATAAATGGCAGAGGACAATCCACAACTGTGATTTTCACATGTTACAGCTCTTTCACATATAACTAGTACTCTTTCATATATTTCAGCTCTTCCGACACTACATATTGAGTTTGAAAGGCTATGATTTTCCTCAATTATTTGCTAAATAAAATTCAGCAAAACAATTGCGTAGCATTCACAAAAGAGTTCAGATTTTTACTATTTTGGTAGAGAAGAGGACTGTACCCAAATTATGCAATAGGGAACTTATAAATGATAACAAGAAAGAATAAGAGAAATAGGTTTTGATAGAAGTTTTAACCTTGTGAGAAAAGCAAAATGGAAGATAATGTCAAAGTTGTTCTTCAATCACTACAACATAACTTCTGCATCCAAAGAAGAGAAGAAATCTTCCCGAAGAGCAGAGAAATTTGTAGCGGCGTTGCTTTACCAATGTTGGGTAAAGAATAGGAAAAGTAATGTAGAAAAAGGGTTTGGGGACCTTAGGGCTATTTTGGTGAATTTTGCTATTTTGTCGTGGGATAATAATCCCAACATTAATTATCCCACCTGATAGAGATAAACCTCATAGAGATAAATATAAGGTGGTATTAAATTTTTATACCACCACTAATTTTACGTATCCCTCGCACCAAACGATCCCTTATAGTATAACTATCACTCACAACCTCTTATGTCAATTATAACTATTACTAGCTATCACCTCGTAGCCATCACCATAAATATTGCTACTGCAATATTTAGAGTTTATTTGACCAAGCTACTAAAAATTACTTATTTTAAAAAATATTTTTGTTCAAAAGCACTTAAGTAGTGCTTTTTGTTCAAAAACTGCTTATTTTGAACAAATTATTTTTTCAAAATTACTTTTGTAAAATAACAATTTGTGTTTGGCCAATTTATTTCAAAAGTACTTTTTGCAAGCATATTATTTCTGGCCAATCTTTTCAAAGTACTTTAAATATCAAATTACCAAAAGGGCCGGTAAAGGTTCTGTAATGACCCGACCAATCGTTTTACTTTTTAAATTCGCGTTCCCCTAATTAAGACCCCCCATATGTACGTTTACTATTTTATGACTTGTGGTAAATGTTGGTTTTAGGTTTGGAAGGGTTCCGGTTGAAATCATAATACTTAGTTCCTTAATAGTGGCATATGATGGTCAAGTTTAACTTGAGTCAACATTTTGAGTAAACGACCTTGGAACCGAGATTTGATGGTTCCAATAAGTTTGTATGATGATTTTGGACTTGGACGTGTGTTCGGATCGGGTTTCGGGTGATGCGGGAGCGTTGCGACGCTTAATATTGAAAGTTGGTTTATTGAAAGTTTTCTAGTTCTTTAAATTTAGTTTGGAGTAAACTTTAGTGTTAACGAGGTCCGTTTGGGATTACGAGCTAGGAATAGGTCCCTATAGTGATTTATGACTTGTACGCAAAATTTGGTGTCATTCTGAGTAGTCTAACTATAATTCAGCGCGTTCGGAGCTAGTTGAGAAGTTAGAAGTTCATAAATTGATTCAATTTAGTTTTGGGGTGCGATTCTTAGTTTCGTTGTTGTTTTACGTGTTCTGAGAGTTCGAGCAGGTCCGTATGATATTTATTCATGTATTTTGACGGGGTCCCGGGGTGGCTCGGGTGTGTTTCGAACCGCCCGGAGCTAAGTCGAAAATACCATAAATTATTGTTATGTTTTTCCTTTTTTGCGAAGGTGTAGCAGTGGTCGCATTCGTGATAAAGGAATGAGAGTGGGTGGATTTTTTCCCTACGCATTCGTGAGATGGGGAACGCGTTCGCGGGGCTCTAGGCAACTGGACTTCGCGTTCGTGCTCAGGCCTTCGCATTCGCGAAGTGCGAGCCCGGCTAGGGAGAGGGTCAGTCGATGGCCTTCGCGTTCGCGTTGAGGCCGTTGTATTCGCGAGGGGCAGGCCAGCTAAACCTTCACATTCACGAGGCCGGTCTCACGTTCGCGAAGGGCATTTTCCTGGTCTCGACATTTTTGCCTTCGCGATCGCGAGTGCCTTATTGCGATCGCGAAGAAGGAATCACTAAGCAAAAAATATTTTAAAGAAGGGATTTAGGCCTATTTTTCCCATTTCTCACTTGTGTGGTCTGGATTTGGAGCTTTTCGAGAGGGGTTTTCATCAAGCTTTGTAATGTTAGTAATTTCTATCTAATGTGAGTTAAATACATAAATTATAGGTAGATTTTAATGGGTAAAATGTAGAAATTTTAGTAGTTTGTTGAAAAATTTAGGTTTTGATAAAAAATGAGATTTGACCACGAAATTGATTATGGAATTGGGAATAAATTATATACTTGAGTTCGTGAGGTCGTGGGTAACATTTATCTTCGAAAATTTTTGGAATCCGAACACGTGGGCCCGTGGGCTAATTTTAAGAATCTTCCAAATTGAGTTGGGTAATTACTCTAACCCCCNCACCCACTATTGCCCAGGGTTATTAGATTAAATCCTCTCAGGATAGAACAAAATAATTATTATGCAATACCAGCAATGAAAATTATAGAACTTCACTGAACTCATCAAATGACATTAAATCATACGGATGCTTACTATTTGCTTTGAAAGCAATACGGAAATGCAGAGAAGAGAGGAGAGAATATATGCAAATTTGTCCCGAATGGACGATTCAGTTGGTTTGGAGGGGTGTTGTCCACACGGGTGATGGGAGTTCGATCCGCCCTCAATGCCTTGTGGGTCTGAGCCTATCGCACAGGGCTTGCCTAATGCGGTTTACATCCCATGTGTGGGTTGCAGGGTATTACATAGTATGAGGTTTACCGAGTGCGCACAAAGTGCTCATCCGAAGGGTAGAGGCTGTGACAGAGACTGTAGCGGCTGCGGGTTTTCCTCGGGTTCTAATATATGCAAATTTTATGTTGTTCAATGTCTAAAAAATGAGGCTAATCCGTTGTATTTATAGCCAACGATTTAGGTTTCAACATGTGCCAAGATATATGTTCGTTTGAGAAGGTGTTTGTTCTCCATAAATTAAATTTTTGTTAGGCGCAAATTTGACTGTTGGGAGATTAAATTACCGCCCCAAATTTTAAATTAAAAATTCCTCGAAAAAATATCATAAAATGAAATAAGTAACGGAAAAAATTGGTACAAAAAGTTTATCAAACAAATCAATTGGCCGAAGCCGAATCCGAGCGACGACGACGACAACTACGCGAGGCACCATGTAAGTACAAGGGTTTCTGTTTCCATTTTACGACGAGGGACAAAGTGGCTTAGTAAAAAGAATAGTTCAAATTTTTGTTTTTTTCTCAATTTTCATTCACACCTTTTTATTTTTTTTATTAAATAAAAACTCAACAACTTCTCCCCAAAAGCAGAAGAACAACGTATGTTGTTGCTCAAAAACACTTTTTCATTTTGGCCAAACACTTTAAACTTTTCAAAAAGTATTTTTTTGACAAAAAATATACTTTTAGAAGCTTGGCCAAACATGCTCATAGAATGTATTTTATTATACAAAGGATTTAAGTTTTAACACTAAAAGTATAACGAAGCTTCTACTCTATCAATGAAGTTTAATATAATATTAGGTCAATTATTATTTTTTATCAAAATATCAATCTATTTATCAAGAAATTTACTTATAATTATCCATAAATAACCTAACTATGAAATATCTTTACACAATTAATTCAATTTTCAGTTCAAAGAACTTAAACTCTTTACAAATAGTATAGACAAGATCATATAAATAAATATTTTATTTAATATTATTGTGAATATAATATTCAATTATCATTTTATTTTAAATCTTAAATTTGTTGCTATTTAATGAAGATACATTACACATATTTCAGCGTATAAAAAACAAATTATTAATTATTCGTATTTAAATTTAAAATTAATATCTTGATAATTAAATATATCTAATTCAAACATCTTAATTTTAATAAATAAATAAATGAGATCTATGTGTGTTTGTAACGCAGTCTAATGAGGAAAATTTCCGGTCCGGATGTGTGTTTGTAACGCAGTGTAATGAGGAAAATTTCCGACTTAACGAAGCTTCAATCCTTGAGACATAATATTAACCAATAAGGGAGCGAGTACAGATCGTCATGGATCGTGTCAGAGAAAAACTCCTGATCGTGACCGCTCATTTAATCCCCAGAAAACACAACAAAAGCAATTATCCACCGTCGATACTGTACTTTCATAAAAACACAGTAAAAGAAGTCCTAACCAACTCCGGCTTTTACATGTTCTATAAATAGCATCACACAAGTCTTTCGCATCATTCATCTTATCAAAATCAAAAGTTTTTTTCTACTTTTCGCAGTCCTCTCTAATTTCAAGCTTTCCTCACCAGCCTTCAAACCCCAAGTAATCTTAAGGTTTGATTTCTTCTTCTTTTCTTTGTTCTTCAATTCTGTTCTGGTTTTATGATTTTCAATTGTTGTTTCTTCGTTTCGATTGTGGAAAATCGGATGTTGTTTCTTCGTTTTAATTACCAGAAGTCCTTAGGTTTTGATTTGGGAGATCTTAGGGTTAGCTCAGCTTCATTGAATTTCCCCCCTTTTCTTCTAGAATCTGAAAAATTGATGAAATTATGACCGTCTTATATGTTATTATTGTGTATCTGGATCTAAACCTAGACTCTAGGAACCCTAGAATTTGGATTTATGCATATATATATATATATATANATTTTGGTTGCTGTTTACAGGAAATCAGATGGCTCGTACGAAGCAAACTGCCCGTAAATCTACTGGAGGCAAGGCTCCAAGGAAGCAGCTTGCCACCAAGGCTGCCCGTAAATCTGCCCCAACAACAGGAGGAGTTAAGAAACCTCACAGATACAGACCTGGAACTGTTGCTCTTCGTGAAATTCGCAAGTACCAGAAGAGTACTGAGCTGTTGATCAGGAAATTGCCATTCCAAAGGCTTGTTCGTGAAATTGCCCAGGATTTCAAGACTGATTTGCGTTTCCAGAGCCACGCTGTGTTGGCTTTACAAGAAGCAGCTGAGGCATACCTTGTTGGATTGTTTGAGGACACAAACCTGTGCGCCATTCACGCCAAGCGTGTCACTATCATGCCCAAGGATATCCAGTTGGCCAGAAGGATTAGGGGAGAAAGAGCTTAGAATGATCTGCTCTGCTTTGTCGTGCTTAGATTGTTGAAGTTTTTTTTAGCGTTTTGTGCTTTTCTTCTTCTTCTTCTTCATATAGTTGGTTTTATTAGAATATGAATGGCTGTGGCATACTGGAAATTTGATACACTCTATTATATAGTCGAATTTAATTGGTATTTCTTTTTTCAATTCATTTGGTGTTCATCTTGACCATGCTATTATTGTTGCTTTGACTGGGCTTAAATCTAAAACGATGCATTATGGAATTGAGCTTTGGTATCCTTCAATACTGGCGGCGTGTTGTATGTTCTAGGTTTTGCTATTTTGACACTTCCAAATCTAGGTTTTATGCTCTTGGATCCCCTGTTCTCTTATCTTTTGTAAATCAACACCTTCTTGGTGCTTCCAGTGATGAATACACCTTACGTGCCTCAAATATAAAGCATATTGTCAATGCGATGACTGTTTACGGATAGTATGTTACTCGACTTATCTCGAATATAATTATGTGTGAGTTTATGATGTATCAATTTCAGGTGCAAAAAGCGTTAGCTGCTCGTGTTCTTTCCTTTTTAATATAAAAAGTGTTGAATGCCAAAGATTTGGTTGTGCATGTTACATCTAACTTTATTTTGTTTATCTGATGATATTTGGAAATCAACGACTTCTAGACATATGGTACAATTTTCACATTCTTTCTTGGCTATAATATTCTTGTGAATTCCTTTTCTTGACAAAAGATGAAGTCATGAAGCCACTTCTTTTCATTTAATTATGTGTTGAACTGAATTTGGACAGAAATCCTAATTTTGAGTTGTTGAATAGGATTGTTTCTATCTATACAACTGTGCTTTTAAATGATTTTTTGATTTCTCGGGCTTACATGTAAGTTCTTTTAGGAGATGATAGTAGTTGTTTCGGTGAGATGACGTTTAAAAATACAGTTGAGGTTCTGTGAAGAAAGGGGGAAAACTTTGGAGTTCCAAATGGATTCTATAAAGGCACAAGATATTAAGGCTGACGCTTTTGATGCAATAAATAGAATGTGTTTCATTCGATGATCTTTGGATGGTTGAATGCTTTCACATGATATTTTTTTCTAATCTTTGAGTGTTTGAGTTAATAATATTAATATGCTAGATAACAAGGCCAATGTGTTAATTAATTAAGCTCATCTTGTAACAATAATGTGACGTTTAACTTGAATGTCGAAGATGTTTTAGGCACACTAATAGATTAACTGTTTGATTATATCTTACCTTAAAAAAAAAAGGAAAAAAGAAATAGACAATATCTCACAATGCTATTTTCAAGCCAATTTGGTATTAGCATTGTAATAATTTTTTTCTCCTGTTTTGCATGCCTATATTGTACTAGCACTCTGTTCTAATCTTATTATTGTTAATAGTGGTCCTCTTTTTTAAAGGAAATTCCCAGCTTGGTTTCTGAGTGGAAAAGGTTATATATGCTCAAACACGATTACATAAGGAAGAAAACTTTGAGCCTACCTTCCCCAAAACAATTCTTAAAATCTAAGATCATGAAGGACTCCATTTACATTCCTAACTTAGACATGTATTCTTGTTATTAATTAGTTTTTAAATATAGTAGTATATCCTTTTTGCTGTTTAGACCTGAAAGATGATAATTGCAAGCAATTTATCCATCCTTAACAACCCTTTAACCTCTTCAGACAGCTCCCTCCAACTATGTACTACTTATAAAAATACCTCATTTGTAGGGAGGTAAGAAGTTGATAAATTTTTCTTCCTTTTATATTCATTAATTAATCTCATGACCACAGTGACCATGGTAAAAGAAATTCAAATGGCCAATTGAAATTTTGTTTACCAATCAAACTTTTGTATCTCATTAAGGGTGTAACTTTTGACATATACATATACTTCAGGGGAATGCATGTGCTACAGTCAAAGAGTGCAAGAGTAAGTCCTCCTAAAGTTGGGGTTACACTCAAAATTTGCTGTGATTGTTCTAAGAAGCCTGAAAACGATTACTTTAATTTAAAGAACATCCTATGTGTTCCGTCTGCAACATGTTATAGTCATACTTGCACAGTTTAAAAGCAACATGTCGCCATCATTTAATTAATCTATTGCAAGATGCATTATATTGAGTTTAAATTTTTTGTTTTTCATTCCATTTGTATCTTTTGTTGTTGGTAAAAAGAGGAAGTTACATTTTACATTTTCTATTAAGTTCTTTTCTTTTTCCAGTGTGCTCCTGGCCCCTGCACATATGCCAATTATTGGACTGCTTATATCTAGTACATACATCTTTAAAGATTGACAACTCTATTTTTTTTTATTGACAACTCTATTAAAAAGCAAAAAACTCTTTTGGAGAGAACCAATTGAACACACTGTTCAAGCAAAACATAGTTAATTATTTCTGGAAGAATTTGCAAAATAAAATATCACAAGCGGTGCAGGCGAGTTTTTTTTACCACATTTATCACCCACGATCCCTACGACACAAGGAGGACATAAAACTCAAAAATACTTCTTGATCTACATTGTTTCGCTTTTCTTTTGGCCATTAATTATGAACTACTCGAAAAACATTCTATTTTTTTAATCACATTTATCAGCTACGAGACATAAAACTCAAAAATACTTCTTGATCTACATTGTTTCGCTTTTCTTTTGGCGATTAATTATGAACTACTCGAAAAATATTCTATTTTTTTTACCACATTTATCAGCTACGATCCCTACGACACAAGGAGGACATAAAACTCAAAAATACTTCTTCATCTACATTGTTTCGTTTTTCTTTTGGCCATTAATTATGAACTACTCGAAAAATATTTTATTTTTTTGACCACATTTATCAACTACGAGATATAAAACTCAAAAATATTTCTTGATCTACATTGTTTTGCTTTTCTTTTGGCCATTAATTATGAACTACTCGAAAAACATTTACGTAGAGGGAGTAAAGTCTGAGTGTTACTTTTTATAAATTATTTTGAAAATATATTTTCTTCCTGCCTTCTTATAAGAGACAAATTTACCTTTTACGATCCAAATAATCATTTTTAGTTAAGATTAATGTTCAAGTGAATAATGACACCAAGCATTGCAAAATAGATTAGAACCTTTACTGATTATTATCTTTTCAACACGCTTTTATTGGAACATAAATCGAAAAGTAGACTTTTTCTAAATAAGCTCATTATTTGTACTATAGGTTCTTAAGTTGACTTTACTGTGTTACTTTCTGAATGTGTTCTAATTGTTATATTAGGCAAGTCTTACTCTATAGATGTTCCATAAGAAAAATGACAAGTTGCACTAGACCAACTCAAATCGACATTAATAAATGAATGCGTTCTTCAATTACATATTGTTTGGAAATTTATCAAATAGTGGAAGTACCAAAATATTTGATTTGAAACAAAAGGAAAATTGAACCGGAAACAAATCAACTGAATAAGGAGATTCAAATTCACGAATCAATTGTGCAGTGTAAGTCAATAGTTAATGGGAAAAGGACCAAATATACCCCACCACTTTGGTAAATTATTCATGTCTACTATCCGTTATACTATCGAGACATATCTACCCTTACCATTAGCAAAACTTTTTAAAAATACCCTCATCTAACGTAATGCATCAAATTAATAAAATAATCATTTTAAAAAAATTCATTAACCCATAACCCGTTAAACCTATCATATAAAAATACGGTACCTAGATTTCTGAGACGTCTTAACACATTTTATTCATTTAGAGAGAGACCGAGAATAATAGTGGAAGTAGGATTAGCAAGAATTTATATTTTTGGTTCTTAATTGTTCATGGTGGCGTTAGGATGTCATGTTATCACTTTTGGTTGTATTTTTTGTAGTTATAATATGGCATTCCTTTGTCTACTGCCATATTATACAAACCGAGAATATGAATATATGATTGTCGGTATTTTTATGTCTTTCACGTCTTAAATTCAACAAATGACTACGAAGGAGAAGACTAATTTGTAAGGAAGAAGTGCAGTAAATAAAAAAGATTTAACGGGTTATTAATGAGTTTTAGAAAAATAGGTACTTTTTAAATTTGGTGGCTTTCCATTAGGTGGAGGGTATTTTTAAAAAAAATTAGCTAACGGTAAGGGTAGATGTGACCCGATAGTATAACGAAGGGTAAACGAACAATATACCAAAGTAGATGGGTATATTTGGCCCTTTTCCCATAGTCAATGTATCGAAAAATTAGAAAGAGGACAAAAATAAAGAAGACAGAAAGCATTGTGCGCAATTCATTTTAGATTAAGGTGATTAATTAAAAAAAAGGAATTGAAATGCCCTTACTAGTTCATTCCAAGCTAATGTGAATATTATTTGGAACACTAAACTCGTAGAATGTTTCTAATATTCGTTTGTTTATCTACAAGTACATGTTTTCCTTCTCAAATCAACAATAAATCTTTTCACACCTTCTTCTATTTTACATCCATATTGACCATTCCGCATAAACTGACATCTCCCAGAAAGTTCCTTGCTCTCTTCTAATATCAACCTAGCCATAGGAGATATGTCTGATATCCAAGTTTCAACAAATTTTAACATTTCAATATTTTTAGTCATTATTTTTCTTTTAATTTCCTCCAACATAGTGATAATTGATTTGTGCCTAGGAGCTAAAATCCAGGAGTTAAAAGTCTCACACGTATTATTTTTAACAATGTCACACTTGGCATGCTCTTTAAAGTATGCTATACACCATGTTTCTTTTCTGTATTTTAACAAGTCTTCACAAATATGCTTATCAAGCTTATCAAGTTTTGCCATCTCCTCTTTTAATTTGACTTCATAACCTGATTTAGTACATCTCTAAAATTGCTTTTTCCTCTCCTCTCCTTTCCAGTGTTGCTGCAAGTTAGACCAGATGTGTCTTGCACACATCCTGTACTCACAGTCAGGTAGAAGTTCAAGTATAGTTGGCACAAGCCCCTACAAACAAGAATAAGACATTTAGTGAATAGCATATAAAACAACAGTTAAAATTAGGATAGAATAAACATCACAACCTTCTGCATATCTGACAGCACAGTAAGCCCCCGTCCACTTCCTAATTGAAGATCTTCTATCAGGTAATTAACCAGATATGCTTGGTCTCCTGGTCTAAAACAGCCCAGGCAATTGGAAATATTTACTGGTTTCCATTCCTGCCAACTGCAACTAACAACTCATCCTTACAAGCACCATTCATAAAACAACCATCAAAACCAATTATTCTTCTACATCCTTCCAACCAACCCCTCCTAAAAGCATCAAAGCACACATAGAAATAAACAAATGTAGTTTTTCCAGGACTCTACCAGTTCTTACCCAACATGAGCTGCCAGAATTGGTTAGTTTGATTTGATCAGCATAATTACACAACCTAGCAAATTTTTGTTTCCAGTCACCCATAGACTCTTTCATAATCTTTTGCATTACCTTATGACACACTGTTCTACCAACATAAAAGCCTAATTTTTCTCTACATAGCTGAAGTTCCCAAATCTTCATATAAGGCTGTTTAGTAATCTCATCATTGAATTTATTTGTAACAAACTTAGAGATACACAATTTGTTCTTGTTTGAAGTGTTGCATTTGTCCACAAGGTGATAATTTTTCACCATAAAGTCACCCGAATCTCTGTCAAGTGCAGCATACAACAACCAACCGCATCTCTTTTCTAAGCATGTTACTCCCACTCTTTCCTTTTTATTAGGTTTTAGTATCAACTGGATTTTGTATTCAATAGCATACTTTCCACAACTTTCCTAAATTCTACAACATTCTCAAATTTCATCCGAACTTCAAATATAGCCACAACACAATCATCATCATACCTTAGCTTACTAATCTTTCTTCTAGCAGGTAGATCAACACCCCTAACAGCTTCAGGATCTAACTCATCTCTACTGTCATCACTATCTGCCTTTGAACCATCAATAAAATACTCATCACCCCCTAACCTTCCTGTATATCTAGCGGCCTTGTTCCTTCCAATTGTCTTCAAAGCCTCTATCAATTCCAGCTTCTCCTAGAGGTATTTCATTCTTTGCAACAACTTTTTTTCTTTGGACCTTACTCTTTTATTTACTCCTTCTTTCTTCCCTAACATATCTCAACTCTTCATCAACCTCTGAGTCATCTTCTTCAGGAATACCATCTTCTTGTGAGTCACAGCTACTTTCTAGATCTGTTTGAGCCCCATCCACATTTTTCTAAGTAGGTTAATTACTCTCATCAACTACACCAACATCAACCCATTCATTTTCTTCAGTTAATCTAGGGCTGGCAAGTGGGCAGGTCCCGGGCCTAAACGGGCCAAGTGGACCGGTCCAAACGGCCTTGGGCCGGTCCCAAATTAAATGGGCCAAAACGGGCCTGGGCCTAGACGGACTTTTTGTATGGACCGGCCCGGGACCGAAACCGTTTGGTCTCGGACTAAACGGTCCCGGACTAAACGGGCTAAGTGGGCCCAGCATATTTTTTTTTAAAAAAAATTAAATAGATATTAGAGACAAAAGGATGATAAAAAAAATATCTAAGGCAATGCTTTGTAAATTTTATTATAGAATTGTGACCTAAATTTTATTTAACATCCTAAATTTTAATATTCAATATTTAATATCGAATATATATAGT